AGCAGCCCTAGAGTCCTACATCCCATGGCTGCGTCTGGCAGGTGATTTGCAGAAGATCCTCGTGAAAGGCTGATGTACTCTGCTATTACTAGATACTCTGCAGCTGCCTGCAGTTATTCACAGAACAAGGTACTCACAGAGGAGCATCCCCTGCCCTAGAGGAAGGGCAGGACTTTGGGGGGGGTCCTGCAATTGTGCCACAGATCTCCATCCCCAACATCTCTGTCACCTGCACAAAGCAGGATAAACATCACTTGACATTCAGAGAGCAAATTCCCTTTGAACTAAACAAGACCAACTCCTCCAAGGTTTCAGATTCTCCATTAGGACCAGGAGAGCACACCCAAAATAAAGTACAAGTCTCCAGATTTTCTATGCTCCTCATTTTAAGCAACGCACAGCAACAGCAACATTAGGAGAAACAAACTCAAGGTTTTTCCCAAAGTGAATGACAAATGCAGTTCTAGCAACTGCAAGCTGTGAAAACAAAAAAAGAAATCTATCATAGGAAATCTCTTCTAGGGAAAATATAAATTTCCTACTGTTCCATGTACAACAGAATTCTTGTCAGGAAAGTTCCTGCTCATGTTCAATCTCGTTCCTATGAAGGTGCACCACTGTTATTTCAAGACTTGCTTCTGCATCCCCTATTCTCCTTTTTGCTAATTTTTAAGTATAGACTACTATAAGTCAGTAGCAGCTTGCCCTCTTACAGAGATTAGTGATTGATGGAAAATAAAGAAATCTTTTCAAACTTGAGCCATTTACAGAATCAGTGCAAGGATGCTGAAATAATCAGGAAGCTCTTCTATCCTCCTTCAACCACTTCACAAGCCAGAAGTACAATACAGCAATACAACACAATAGGATGTGCCCTTTGTGAGAAACGCTCGTATTTCTGCACAACAGCTCGTCTGGGAAGAAAAAAAGGAAAAAAAGAAAAGAAAAGATTAGCATAACTGACTCTCCCCCCTTCCCCTGCACCCAACTGTGAGGCTTAAAAACAAACTCACAAAAATCAACTCACTGTTACAGACACAAGGCCAACTACAATTCCTGTATACTATGCCTTGACCAGATTGATGTTGTCTTACTATTTTTTTTGGATTCTCATAAGCTGAAAAACATATAGGAAAGGGGGTTATACAGATATGCACTTTCCAAAACACTCAAGACAACAAAAAAAATCAACTATCTTCAGGCAGTGGCTCTCACCATCTCTTGCCAGGCAGGTCTCCCAAAAGTAATCCTTTGAGGACAAAGATAGAGATGATAGCGTCAAAACAAGACAAAATATTTAAGTAGTTTACCAAATTCCTGTCTCTCTCAGCCTGCAGGCAGTAGTCAAAACTAAAACCAACTTACTCAGAATTTTAGAAAACATCAAAGGAAACCCAAAACCACATGCTTTAACAAAGTTACAGTCCTCCATATAAAAACTGACACAGAGCAGCACTCCACCTCCAAGAAAGCAAACAAAATAAGGTCCACAACATGAAGAGGACGCATTCAGATAGTAAAGCGCTAAGAGCAAAGTTTGCTGCATGAAATCAAGGTATCCACAAAACCACTTCATTTTAAAATCAATTTTTGCTCTCCTTCATTCTTCTTGGCTGAGAGTTGTCTCGGCACGTACCAGGGCCAGCAAGATACAATACAAACGCATGAGATGCATCCCAATTACTGTTAGAAAAGGCTACTACTTTAAGCTGTTTAAAAATCAGACTTCCCTTCCTAATTCTGGAAAATAATCTCCTTTTTCTTCAAGGTAGGAGCAGAAATAGAAGAGGCTGTAAAGAGAGGCAGAACATGTATCCATTGTTGACATGGTTGCCTTCCTGCAGCTACCAACTGAAATGTCCATTTTTGCCTGTATTACTTTTTCCACTTCACCTGCTTTATCTGGTTAATTCATCTGTTCCTCTTTCGTCACATTTTCACAGTACAGATCTAATGGACCAGATCTGAAGGCATGCAGCACAAGCAACAGCTGGAACATTGCAACTGCCTTAGTCTGTCTTCAATTCTGATCAAAGACAAGAGGTAAGAGATGGTGGCTCGGAAAGCAGAAGTGTCAAACACATTAAAACTAAGTAAGCCTACTTTCTTCTTTCAACAATCCATACATTATTAACTTTAATAACTATTCAAAAAGGCACCGACTAGCTCTTCAAATGTACTTTTACACTCTAAAAACAGCACATCACTAACAGGTGAAAAAAGACCAGAAGAAATTATGAGATTATCCCAAATAATTGGGTTTGGCTTCCCCCCCCCAAAAAGTACTGGGAAAAAGACTGAGATTAAAATATCAGTAGTTATTAACTACAGTAAGAAGGCATTCTTGAGGAAAAGATAAAGCTTAGAGAGTTTTCCATTTGAAGTTACAAACATTCATAATGATATCTATAAGTTCAACATGTTTTTATAATTTAAATAGGATTTTACAAACCAGGGTTAAGCTGTGCCATTTCAAAAAATGAAAGAATGTACAGATTAGGAGATATCAGCAGTAACGTTTTGGTGGCAGGAGTTTCAATAATGGTGTTTTGGCTACTTACTTCCATCCTCCACAAAATAGTAATGGGATTTTAACTGTATACAAAAGAAAA